GTTGATGAACAGTGTCAGGCAATTTAATATTAAGAATAGCTTTAACCTTGTCAGGAAGAGATTTTGATCCCTCAGGTGTAATTAGAAAGCCTAAAAATTCCAATTCATTAATTCCAAACACAGATTTAGAAATTAAGTCTCAATCCGTATTTTTGCAATCTATCAAAAACAAATTTTAAATGCTTTTTGTGTTCCTCTTCATTATTTGAAGCAATCAAAACATCATTCAAATATGGGAAAACAAATTTTAGCCCTCTAAATACCTCATTAATAAATCTCTGAAAGGTAGGAGTGTTACACAACCCGAAACTCATGACGTTAAATTCATATAGCCTGAAAGGGGTTGTAATGGCAGTTTTTGTCTTATCATTTTCATAACAGGAATCTGATAATATGCTTTATGCAAATCAGTTTCAGAAAATATTTGAGTATTTTTTTAAATGTGGTTGAAATCTTCTAATCGGGGTACGGGATAATGATCTGGCATCGATTGTGCATTCAAACGTCGATAATCTCCGCATGGTCGGAAGGAACCATCTTTCTTCGGAACCATATGAAGAGGACTGGCCCATTATGATTTAAAAGGATGAATAATATCATTTTCTAACATATACTGAAATTCCTGTTTTGCTATTTGTAATTGCTTGGGATCAATTGTCTAGCTCTGGCATTAACATGTTGTCCTCTAATTGTAATATAATGCTCAACACCATGCTTAAATGTTGATACTGATAAACTCAGTTTTGCTAAATCTGGATATAGTTGTAATAAATTAGCATATTTAGAGTTTTTATCTTGAGTACTAATAGCATGATAAAAAACACTGTTGTTACATTAGTAATTCCATCAATTAATTGCCTATTACGAATATCAACTAAAAGTTTAAATTTATTTAGTAAATAAGCTACAATAATAGCTTTATCAACTTTTAGCTAATATAAACAGAAATTGGAATTCTCTTCTTAGTCCTAAATTTAAAGTTAAAATTTCAATTTCATAAGAAAGAATTTCCGTTCCATTTGCTGCGTATAATTTCAAATCATCTACTTTTATATTATGACTAGTCACAGGAATGAGACTAATATCAGCACCTAAATCTACTAAAATACTCAGTCCTGTGTTTTTATCCTTTACAAATAAATGAAATTTGTCACTGTCCTTGACACCAGCTCAGTAGGAGCTGCTAATGCGGTTGCGCTATGGAGTTTTCCGACTTCTCTCCCCAAGCACATGGTGAATAACATTTCTCAGGTCGACAATGATCACCAAATTTGAAATGAAAAAAACAATATTCACCTTTCTATTAAATCTTCTTTTCGAACGGCTATAACCCCAAGCTGTATTCTGGGGATAATAACTAAATCTTGGTCTAGAACAATCATTTATTTGCACTGAATCAATTTTTTGTTCTAAGCCAGCAGATATTCCTGCAAATGAAGCATCAGTAACGTTTGGCGAAACAGGATAAATTTCTTTTCCAGATTTCATCTCGTGAGTTTTGTCAGCCATCGTGGACAATTTCTTTAAATTTTCTTCACTGACGAGAAGAATACTCGGTTAGAGTTGACTTTAGGGTACCCCTTGTATTATCGCCATGTTGTTGTTTCATTTATCGCCAAGTTTTTGTACCATTTATGGTAACCTGAGTAGTTGAATCTTAAGGAAACCCTACTATGACATAATCATTTGCATTATTCCAGGAAATTTTGAATCGTGGGATGTTTTGCAAGGGCTTTTGTGGTGTGTGTTGCTTAGGAAGTATATTACTTGCTTCATTGTTTATATGGTACAATGGCTGAATGTAGTAAGATTAATTTGTAGTTTCTGTACGAAAGGGGAAAAATGCATTAATTGACTGATGTGTAAATGAAAGTTTACTTACTAGCCATTTTTCGGACAGTCCGAAACTACATAGTATATTTTTTACTCTTATTTTTGTGAATTTATGTGGCGACGCTGATATACGGATTCTAGTTCAGATAATTTTAGGAAGTTTTTAGATGCTGTTAAGGAATTTTGTGTGCCACAGACTGAAGACGAACAAATTTCTAAATAAGGTAAGTGTATATTTGCTTTGTGTAGTGCTTAAATGCATAAAAGGTTTTTCATTTTTTATGTTATTTTATTGTTTGGTTTATAATTTAGTTTATTGAGATTATGTATTTTTAGTTTGTCTCTACTGTAGAATTGGGTTCTCCTTTGACTTTTTAAGTGAAAATATATCGATGTGTACATGGACATAGTTTGTGCAATTCTCTGATGTTTTTTAAAGTAAAAATAGGTTGATGTGTACATGGATACCGACCGATTTTATGCAATTCTTTGTCTTGTTATTTTGGCTTTGTGTAGCAGCGATTTCTGTGCCAAAAATCACCGCTACACAAGCCAAAATAACAAGTCAAAGAATTGCACAAACTCGGTATCCATGTACCGCCAAAAATTGCCAAGGAGTACCCTAAAATATATGTTTACCGAATATTATTTATAAAATCGGGTATCTTATCCAACTATAAAGATTTTACCACTTTTTTCATAAAATCGTCTGTGGCTAGACTTTTCAATTGCTGCAAAAGTTGACTTGAAGCTGCGAGGTCTAATCCAGTAACCAGATGCTGAATTCACTTATTCTCACTTTCTTTTGCATTGAATATTTTTTAAGGTTAGTGTCTTTAATAAGGCCCCATATATTTTCAACATACTTCGGTACAAGCAGGAATATCAAATAATTGAATCTAGTCTCTTCAGTCGAGATTTTATTTATTTAAAATCAGGCTTTCACTTGGGAAAACCAAATGTCGGTTTTTTTTTTCATGCCAAAATGATGGGATGTTAATGCTTGCTTTATGCTCTTCCGCATCTATTAACATAGTTGCTTATGTTACGTTTTCCCTAGTCATGTTAAATAGACAAGTCGAACGCTGCTGGGTCACCAAATATAAGTACACCTGTGACGAATCCTCAGTTGATACAATGTAATAAGATACCGACAAAATTTTACTATTCCAAGGATGTTTGACTAAACTACAAAATAAATAAATAAATAAAATAAAAGATTACCATATCAACACTAAATATAATTTGATTCACCAACTCAGTGGTCAAAAATTCATCTCCTGTTATTTTTAATAAATTGCATTCCAAAGGTTAAAAACTGTTGCCAAAAACGATAATACAATAATATGCAAATTAAACATTTATAATTATTAAAAATATTTGTGAGTTACTTTCAAACTAATTATTTACATTTTATGATGTCACAATATAAATTTAGTTGCTATAAGTTATTTTTTTAAGTAGATTAATAAGTCATGCTACTCAGAGATTAATGAGCATAAACTATTCATTAATATAAGTTAAGGGACAAAGGAACATATAAAAACTTTAGGTTATTTTTAAAATTTATTTTCTTTAACTTAACAATTCCAAAACAAACATTTGCGTCATTTAAACAATACCTGTTATTAGGAGTGTATGTCTATGGACAATGGTTGCAAAAATAAAGAACACATAAAGATTTTATGGACAGAGCGTGTAGCAAAATAATCTATACACATAATTGGGTCTGTGACATGTAGCCGACATGAACACTTAGCCAACAGGAAAATAAGCTGACATGGACATTTAGCCAACAGAGCATTCAGCTGACAAGGACATTTAGCCGATACAACATCAGTCAACAGCATATTTAACCGACACCAACTTTAGCTGACAACTCGCACATATTAATAAAAAAAAGCAACAGTGTTTTAGTAAAATTTGCCCATATTTATCAAATAATAACAATCAATAATCTATAATAATCTTTTTGTCATAACATTTCATCCCTCTATCAGTTATAGAATTGCTCAGATTCTTCATAAATTTGATTTTCAGGTTATTTTTGCAAACATCACTGAAATTTATTGCTCAATTCTTAAAGATCTCTGGTTTTAATCCTTTGGGAATTTTTGCTTATGTCAGTGCTGTTTCCCATATATCAGCCAAACAGAAAGAGCAACCAAATTTCTTATCAGGGAACACAAAATACATTTTTGAAAATGAAAAAAAAAAAAAAAATTGATAGCTAATCACAAATGGAAATTTAATCACGGTTTTGGATCAACAAAAAATATTAATAAAGCTTCTTCAGTTAGCAAATTAAAGACGTCTTTGAGCTCTTTACATTAACAAACTTTTTTTTATTTATATACATGACATTAATTTTTCGACATTTTCAAATCTCTTAATTTTTCATGTTTTATTTCTGTTTTCCTTGATGGATCATATTACATTTATTTTTGCTCTGATCCGCTCATTTTTCCCTCCACATAAAATCACTAAACTTCTCCAAATGTTGAAAATTTCTTTCTCCCTTCTGAAGTAGTCCAATTATTCTTGAAATGTGTTTCAAAATCTATGCTAAAAAAGATTGCTTTTCTGTCTAATTTTAAAATTTCTCATCTCTTTTCAGAAATAAATAAAGTGAAAAACCAGTACTTATCCACAGATCTTCTCATCATGTACTCTAGAAACAGTCTTTTGTTGGATAAATAGGAATAAATTTTACTAAACATTGTTATATTTTTATTGTCTATATATATGCATTGCCAGCTATATGTGTTGTTGGCTAAATATTCTGTTGACTAAATGTCTTGTCAACTAAATGTCCTGTTAATGGACTAAATTTCTTGCTGACTAAATGTCCAAGTTGGCTAATGTCCATGTTGGCTAAATGTCCGTGTACGTTAAATGCCCATGTCAACTAAATGTCTGTATGGTTAAATGTCCTGTTAGCTAAATGTACATGTTGCCTAAATGTGCTGCTGGTTAACTGCTGTCAGCTAAGTGTCTGTGACTGCACATAATTATATCAAATTTATAAAAAATAATTTGCACTTTTTCTCTTTAACATTGATTATTACGAGATGCAAAGTTTTTAAAACAAAGGTAGCATATTTCATATATGGCAAAATAAAAGGATTAAGCATCTTTCAATGAAGCAAATATGGGATTAAAATTACCTTCACTGATTTCTTTGCGAACATAAGGATACCACCACCGAAATATTATCCAGCCATCTTGAGCTCTCCAAGTACAGTCTTCATTTATGTATGCGACATCTCGAAACATTACCTTCCCAGACAATATAGAAATAGACAATGAACCTAAATGAGAAAAGCATTTATTTACAGATGCTCACTCTAAAATACAGTAAAAACCAATTTAATCAAATTTCCCAAAAACGAAACCTCACTTAGAACCCCGATATTGTGAAGGAACAAAACATTGAATCACGGAATTTGAAAACTAGTCATTATCACGTCTTTTAAAACTATTTCTTCATACAGAAATGTATGATGTAACATAATGCCAATTCTGGTGATAACTTCATGTATCTGAGTTCTAAGGTTGTCTGCATCAATTAAAATTCTCATTCTACTAGAATAAGTAACTGAAAGTTACTTAATGATCAAGTTACTTAATGATCAAAGACTACAAAAAAATCATTAAAAAAAACTTGCATTCCCAACTGAATTTTTGCCTTTCTAACGGTTAGCCCAATTTTTAATTCTGTTCTTTAAAATTCTAGTTACAAGACTACACCTATCTGATTCAACTATTCCTTTATTTTATTGCGATTTAAAATGGTACACTTTTTAAATGATTTAATTATTTTTTCAATTTTTATAAGATACAAAACTAAAACAGTGCATGTTATCAAGGTTGGATGTAATTCTGATCACTTAATAAAACAGTGCATATAATTCTGATGACTTGGTAAAATAGTGCATGTTATTAAGGTTGGATGTAATTCTGATCACTTGGCTTCTTCGAATTCTTATCCAATGTTTTTGAAGCCTAGACGACCACCTCCCAGAAAGGACACAGTGCCATGCAAAAATTGAGATTCTGTTGCTAATGACAGAAAGAGGTCCCACAAGCTTGTTTTGACTGTGCATATACCCATCAAAAAAGTTATGAAGGAATCAATGAACAGCTTTCTGATTCTTCTCACAGAAACTTTGACATTTTGGAGCTTACTAACAAGTACATAAGAACTAAATCACCCACAGAAAGACTGAAAAACACACTTTCCATTGCAGAATTACTCAAAAAGACATAAATTAACAAATTTTAGCAATCTGTTCAGCATAAAAAAATAATTACCTAGTAAAGATCTCAAGATTGATTTTCCCTGCTCACTGGAGACTGATTTTCCTTTAACAAGACCAACTCAGCCTCCAGATGTTCTCCCAATTACTTTTCCATTAGAAGACCATACATTGTAGCCAACACAGCTTCTAATTATCAGCTAAATTCATGCTCAAACAATACACTAAGAATTCAAAGGTCAAAGGACCTCATTGTTTCTTCTATTTGATTCTCCTATTCAATTCAGAAACTTTTAAATTTAGGCACAAATAAGCAGTCAACTGAGATAATTAAAAAGAGCTGCTCAAAAGAAACAGCTAAATGGCAGTAAAAATCTGAGTGAAAGTTTCCTGCCACTGCGTTGTATGTCACCACACACTGTAAGGTCATGAGCTGGGCCTCTGAAGTATTCCTTTAGTGAAGATCTGAAAGCAATGTTAGTAACACACTGGCAGTATTCTTAGCATATTAAAAACAGCGGAAGCATAAAATATTGACAGCAGAAGAAGCTTATTTCAGAGCTTATTTTCAGAGCTTTAAATGGAAGAACATAATAGTCAGAATCAAAAGTGATCTGACTATTATGTTCTTCCATTTAAAGCAGTGTGATACTATGAGCTTGATAGAATACTGGAGGCAAGATTCAACTTAAAGCTGAAAGATCAGAATTATGGAAAAGCCTTTCAATGATTCATGTTCATATTGTTTAATTTCTTGTGTTTTAGTTAAATGACCTTCAATTTTACTGTAATCACCAAAGCATGATCTAATGTCAATTTTCCAACATGACAGTCCATCTGTGTACAGGTTAAATACTGCATCTAATTTCCTTAATATGTTCATTGGTGTTTTTGTAACCATTATGATAGTAAGTATTGAACGATGCTACCATTTCAGCACACATGTGCCATGATATAATAAATGACAAAGCAAGAACCTTGTGTTTAGCACAAATTTTAATTAACACTCTATCAATTTTGAAGACGAATAAGTACAGGTCCCTCTTCATCAGGAGCAAAGAAATCTGCAATGAAGGAAGAAGCCACAGCCGTATTTATATCAAAAGCAAACAAGTAAAGTGATCAAGAAGGTAGCACTGTATGTTTTCAGAAATAATGAAAAATATTAAGTTCATTCATAAGTTACGAATTTCAAATGCATTAGGAAGGATTGGATTAAAGACATTAACTAAGCATATTTCACATTCACAAAGATTGTAAAAAGCTTCAAGGCAATCCAATTCTTCAAGGCAAGTGGTTAAGTGTCCTGTTTGTAGAAAGGAAATGTGTATGGTTGGACAATATGGCGCTACGGAGGATATTTTTTACTCTTATTTTGTGAATTTACATGGCGACGCCAGTATACAGATAATTTTAGGAAGTTTTTGGATGCTGTTAAGGAATTTTGTTTCACTGAAGACGTGTTAATTTGTAAATCAGTAAGTTGACATTTCCTTTGTGTATTGCAAAGATGAGTTTCCTTTTTTATGTTATTTCATTGTTTGATATATATATATATATATATATAGATATTTTTTTTTTTTTTTTTTTTTTTTTTTTTTTTTTTGTTGGCTGCTCCTTTGACTTTTTGAGTGAATACAGTTCTATGTGCACATAGACAAAGTCAACAGACTGCGCAATGCCTAGTTTGTGCAATTATTTGATGTTTTTTCAAGTGAAAAATGGTTGATGTGTACATGGATAAAGTCAAGAAAGTGCGCAGAGTCAAATTTGTGCAATTCTGGGATGGTTTTTTTAAAAGAAAATAGGTCGATGTGTACATGGATATTGAGTTTGTGCAATTCTTTGACTTGTTATTTTGCCGCTGCCAAAAATCGCTGTTACACAAGCCAAACTAACAAAGATTGTAAAGAATTTAAATATAAGGATATGTCTAGAAAACTTTCTAGAAACCTCTACAAACTATGACACTTTCCATTTTTTTGCAGCCATAATTATTCAAAAAACATCTTCTATTGGTGAATTAAATTTTCTACAGGCATTTCACATTAAAAAAAAATCTTTTTGTTCTAGTTAACGACCCTAATTCTAATCCATCTTTCCCTTCAGTCTTTAAAGAAATTATGTTTCTGTTTTCTCGTTTTATTAATGGATGTTGCCAGTAGCTTAACTCCTGTCCAGCCATTCTTACCTTATCTTATCACCATATCTTATCTCATTCATTTGCACTTTGGCAGCTGAGGAAGCTGATTCGGTAGTCAAATCATCGAAACTAGTCCTGGAAAATTTGCAAATACTGATTTTTGTTGTTTAACTTCTAAAATAATCGTTTTTCGCCGTGTAATTTTAACCTAAATTATAGGAGCCTCAAACAGACTTTTTTTTTTTTTTTTGCTTTTTTTTTTCCATGTGGTGTGTTCACTATTTTGTCGATTGCATGAATTTCAGTGTTTTCCAATATTTTAAGTTTGATTTATGGTTTGCACATTTTAATTTTATTTATTTGAATTTGTGCTCTGCTTATCTGATTTCATGCTTGCTAGTTGCAAGTATTTTGTATTCATTTTCAGTGTTTAAATTTTCCCAATGTTTTGAGCTTTATTACTGGTTAGTTAAGTTAGTTTGATTTTCTTCATTGCTTATCATGCTTTCCTACATTAATCATTTCATAAAATTACACCTGAAGCGACAAAAATTTCTGAATCACCTTGACTTTTCACTAAACTGTAAACATAAAAATTTGATCCCCAGTTTCATTCAGATTAAATCTAGTGAAAAAATTTCCAATCGTGTTTTAAGAATTCTATGAAACAGCAAACTAGCCTTGCTTTGGTCCATCATAAGGGATACACGTCAACAGTTATCCAAAATTGAATTTGAGCTGTATAAGCTTCATATAAAACTTGCTAATTCATGTCCAAAATTCACTGCCATTGAACAAAAGTCTTCGTTCAAAACTGACAATGTAGTTAACCATCATAAAAACATCCTTGCATTTAAATTCAAAAACCTTCTTTAACAGTCTTCCAATTTAAGTAGTTCAAAAAAATCTTCCCATTGTAAAGACTAAGTCAATAGTTAATATTTCTAGTGTTAGTTTATCAGAACAAGAGAGAATTCTGAAACATAATTTTAAACATCTCAAAACCTTCGATTCCAAAGATTCTGGCTCCTATCGAAAAAGCTTTCGAATTCAGTAAAGTTTCATATACACAGCAATGGTTACAATAAGCCTTTGAAACCAAAGCTAAACGCGAGAGAAAGAGCTACAACGCGTGAAATTCATTCTAACCCAGACATTATCATTTCAAAGGCCGACAAAGTTGGCCACATACTCGTCATGGACAAGAATACTTACATCAATGGGGTCACTAAACTTTTTAATGAGGGACCATATAATCTGATCCCTGAAGACCTTTCCCCTTTGGATCTCTCAATAATAAAAACTGTGATCAAATCTTCCCAAATACTTTCGACCAACTTAAAACAATAACTTATCTTATCTGTTGTGAATTGTGCCAGATTATATGCTCTTCCCAAAATTCCTAAAAGTGGTATTCATTTCTGCCCTATTGTATCAAATTTAGGCACTGCCTTGAACTCATTAGCTAAATACTTAGTTTACATATTTTCAACTCTATCAACTCTTTACATTTACCCCATAAAAAATTCAATAGAGTTTATAAAAAAGTTTAGCAGTTCTCCTAGAAATTTACTCATGATTTCTTTTGATGTAAAATCATTATTCACCAATTGTTCCCGTGGACCGTGCATCAAGATCTCTAGAAACCAGACTTCGTGAAATTCATTTCTCCTGCGTCGAAATTATGAGCTAATTTCCATTACTCAATTCTGTTTGAAGCAAACGCATTTTGTTTTCCAAAATAAGTACAGTCAAATACCGAAAATCCGCCGACCTGAAATCCGCGTTGCATCTCAAAGTATAAACATTCAGTTTAAAGGTTCGGGAAACCGCAACATGGAGTACGAAATATCGAAGAAAAAATACTTACTGAATAATAACGTCATAATTACTGAATAATAATGAGTCA